ACTTATTATAAATGCCGAAACTGCTGAAACTCTGCCAAAACTATAATAAATCTATAGTAAAATTTTGACGAAACTAATCGTAGGATTTTGAAGAGGTTTAGACAAGCAACCTTATATGAGATGGATTGCACATCATATCCAACTTATTTCAAGTGATATTTGTAATCACCCTTTGGCAAAAAAAGTACTTTCAGATTGTCAAAAAATAATTAGTTTTTTTAAGAATTCTTATCCTGCAGGTGCTGCTCTTAGAGAAGAAATATTTCATACATTTACTGTTGGTGGAAATTTGAAAACTTCTACAAAAACAAGGTGGTCAACAGCATGGGACTGTTGTGAATCTCTTTTAAGAAATGAAAATAACATCCGATCTGTAAGTTTTTATTTTATTTTTATAAAATTAATACAATTATAATTAAATATTATTTTAATTTTATTAGGTTCTTGAACAATAACCACAAATTTTTGCGCGTGTAAATGCAACTAAAAATTTGATTAATGATCGGCAATTTTGGATTAATGTAGAACAACTTCGGAATCTTATTGCTCCAGTAAAAAAAGCGGTAAAAGATGTAGAATTTCAAAATACAATTTTAGCTGATGTATTTGTAGAATTGGTAAAAATAGCCATTGCCGTTCAAGAAATTCCTACTCCACTTAATAATCAGTTTCGTAAAGATTGTATTGCTATATACAATAAATGATGGAAGCAATTTGATACTGATCTGTATCTTTTAGCTTATTTCTTACATCCAACATATCGAGGTAATTATTTAATTATTATAAATACTTAATTATATTAAAAAATATTTTTATTTAAATATAAAAATTGTATAATTTTAATGTATAGGTGATAATTTAACACATAATACTTACAAAAAAATTATTTTGCGTAAAGCTTTAGAAATTTGGAAGCAAACCGGAGGTGGAGAGAAGAGTGCTAAAATTCTTAAAACTCAAATGAATTTATATAGAAATCAGGAATCACCTTTTGATGATGATTTTATAGAATCTGTTGATACTGTTAAAAATTGGTGGTCATCCTGCGAACTCAAATAAAATGAAAATCATATTTCAATTTTAGCATTAAAACTTCATTCTATTACTCCTCATAATGCTTCAACTGAACGAGTATTTTCAGTTTTAAATTGGTATTTATGTAAGAGACGAAATAAGTAAGTTTAAATTTCTTTCCAATATTATTTAATCATCTTAACTATATTTAATATTTAAAAATATTATTAATTAAATATTTAGAATGAATATATCTCATTTGGAATCATTGGCTCAAATCCATTCTTTTTTAATTGCAAATGCTCCAGGTGAATTAAATTTTATTAATAATAACATCAGTCAAGATGAATTCACTGCTGCTTTTAACCAAATTGCTGTAGCAATGGAAGAAGGTATTGATTTATTTGAGGAAAATGATTCATTTCCAGTTTTTGATGATGACAGTGAAGAGGATAATGATTTGCTATTGCAAAATGAAAATGGATTAAATTTAGAAATAAGCGAATTAATTCAGTTAAATGTAAATCAATCAGGTTCCATTAATGAAAATCAAGCAGACATAAATGAATCAAGAATTGAACATGGAAATAAAGATTTTAATATTGAAGACTTATTACATGACGATTAGAATAGTTTATTTTTACTAAAATATTAATATAAAATTGTAATTTCTATTATACATTTATAATACATAATAGTAATAATCAATAAATTCATAAATAATAAAGTGAATCGTAAATTTGGAATTTAGTTTGGGTTTGGGATGTCCACTTTGTCCAGATTATTCCAGATTGGATTTGGGATTTTGTCCAGTTTGTCCATATTTGTCCAGTTTATCCAGGTTTAGCCGATTTGTCCAGTTATGGCCGTCCAAACTTAATTTTTCCAGTTTTGACATTACGCCCAAATCCCATGGGATTTGGGTTTGGGTGGGCGTTTACAGAATTTTAGTTTGGATGGCAAGTATAGGTGTAACCAAAGATATGGAATAGATTACACAGAAATTAATGTTAGATAGTGATAATTAGTAAACTGAAAATATAATATGGATAAATAATTAGCCGATGGGTAAATAATTAACCGATAAATAATATTTATAGTTTAGTTTAGTTACGAGAAAGTCACATGATAATACATCTTTTATTTCTTATTATTTTCTTAAATTTTTAATAGAAAAAGAATAGTAGATAGTAGAAATAATTTTCTTAACATGTATAAATACAAGTGGGATTCATTAGGAATTCCGCAGTCAATTTTTGGCTCAATAAAATAATATTAAAATATTAATTATTAAAAGTTATTAAAATATGAATATGCTCATTGTATGCTTGAGAATTAATTAATATCATATTATAAGTCCAGAGAAGTAAAGTAAGGGAAATTATCCCAGTTTAATTATTATATGAATTGAAATAAGAAGTTAAGAGAACTCTCGCAGTTTGTAAGAGAAATTATGAGAATGTAAAAGATATAAATGAAAGAGAGCGAGAAGTTAAGAGATTATAAAATCTAAACCAAGCATAATATTGAACTGAGTATGAGTTTAGTCCGCCGATATGTGGCAGGTATCGGTGACAANTAAAATTGTAATTTCTATTATACATTTATAATACATAATAGTAATAATCAATAAATTCATAAATAATAAAGTGAATCGTAAATTTGGAATTTAGTTTGGGTTTGGGATGTCCACTTTGTCCAGATTATTCCAGATTGGATTTGGGATTTTGTCCAGTTTGTCCATATTTGTCCAGTTTATCCAGGTTTAGCCGATTTGTCCAGTTATGGCCGTCCAAACTTAATTTTTCCAGTTTTGACATTACGCCCAAATCCCATGGGATTTGGGTTTGGGTGGGCGTTTACAGAATTTTAGTTTGGATGGCAAGTATAGGTGTAACCAAAGATATGGAATAGATTACACAGAAATTAATGTTAGATAGTGATAATTAGTAAACTGAAAATATAATATGGATAAATAATTAGCCGATGGGTAAATAATTAACCGATAAATAATATTTATAGTTTAGTTTAGTTACGAGAAAGTCACATGATAATACATCTTTTATTTCTTATTATTTTCTTAAATTTTTAATAGAAAAAGAATAGTAGATAGTAGAAATAATTTTCTTAACATGTATAAATACAAGTGGGATTCATTAGGAATTCCGCAGTCAATTTTTGGCTCAATAAAATAATATTAAAATATTAATTATTAAAAGTTATTAAAATATGAATATGCTCATTGTATGCTTGAGAATTAATTAATATCATATTATAAGTCCAGAGAAGTAAAGTAAGGGAAATTATCCCAGTTTAATTATTATATGAATTGAAATAAGAAGTTAAGAGAACTCTCGCAGTTTGTAAGAGAAATTATGAGAATGTAAAAGATATAAATGAAAGAGAGCGAGAAGTTAAGAGATTATAAAATCTAAACCAAGCATAATATTGAACTGAGTATGAGTTTAGTCCGCCGATATGTGGCAGGTATCGGTGACAATTTGGTACATGCTTCTGAGAAAGAAAATGATTGACTGTGTGTCATCATTCTGACTATCTTCATATAGTCAGGTACCTATGTGGTATTCCTGAGAATCTGGACTCGAGTATATAAAAGAAAAGTTATTAAAAGTATAATGAGAAAATGAATGAAATATGGATCGAGTAGGGTTTATAGGAGAGATGTCTGTGTATTATAAACCAAGAAAACAAGTTATTAATTGAAATATGGTATAGGAAAGATCCATAAGAAATAAAAGAGAACAGGGTTGAGTAAGGTTTATCAAAAGATGTGATAGTAGTTCAATCGCCAGCGAATATGTCAATAAAACATTGTCTTTAGACAAGAACCTTATACATGAAACTAGTGTATAAGAAGTAGTTGATTATCTTAAAGATGCGTGGTTATTTGAGTTACTAAAAGAAATGAAAATGATAAACAGATTTAATATTGTATAAAAGACCCTGAGAAAAATAAGAAATATGAAACTTATTATAAGAGAGAATTTCTGTGTACTATAATAAGTTATAAAAGACTGTAAGGATTCCGCAGTTGGAATAAAGGAATCAGAGATAAAAGAAATTAGCTGTTATTCTTCAGCTTAAATAAAAAGAACAAATATAAGAAGATTAGCTGTTATTTCTTCAGCGTGAATAAAAAGAATAAATGAAACAAAGGAGTTGTTAGTGACAAACCCGTAAACTACCGTACTTCAGTAATGAAGGTAAAGGCAAGCCCGGTATAGGTTACTGAAAGAAAAGAAAATTTAATGATGTTAACAATCATAAGAAATATAAAATTATTTAAAGAAAATAATGTTAATAAGAGAATTGTAATTGATGTTACCAGAGAAAGTATAAGTCACGTGATAAGGTGCAGTAAAATACATATATAGACCTCCCCGGTCTAAGGAGATTGTGGACTTAGATTATTTTTAGAAAATAAAGTTATATGAGAATATAGACCTCCCCAGAGCTGAGGAGATTACATAAGAATATTATGTAAGAAGTCACGTGAGTGGTACAAATCACATGAGTAGTACAAATCATACGAATTATAAAAAGTAGATTACACAAAGCGCAGTAAAGTGATGAAAACAATAAAATAATATATACCTTGATGCAGTGGAATAAAAATAAAATGCGAAAAATTGAAATTTAAAAGGAAAAGGTGGTGTATTTATAATTTTTGGAGTGATACAGATCACGTGTTGAGAGAATAAAGAAAGAAGATAAAAGAAATAAGAGAAAGTATAAGTCACATGATAGGGCGCAGTAAATGAAAGAAAATAGAAGAAAGTACAAGTCACATGATTGATTATATAAGCATAGCAATAATATAAAAAGGACGTCCTCAGAGCTGAGGAGATTGAAATTAAAAATAATAAAATAAATTCTAGTATATAATTAACAAAAATAAAAATACAAGTAAAAGCCATAAAATATGCAATTGAAATTTAAATTACCGAAAGAAAAATTAGAGAGAATTAAAGATAAATTAAGTACAGAAAATAATATTGAAATAGATATTTATAATGAAGAGGACGTAATAATTGAAAAATGGCATGTTACATATGAAATAATAATAAAAGAAATCAATAAGAAAGAATGCGAAATAGGAAAAGTCGAAGAAATAAAGAAGTAAATGATAAAGTTGAAGAAGGTAATAATAATATTTATAGTAACGAAGAAGAAATGGATACTGACAATAGGGATTGGAAAAGATTCGATTAAAATCGTATCTATCGAAAATCGACAAGAATCGATTTTAAATCGATTATCGAATAAAAATCGAATCTATTTATTGTGGCGCAGTATCGTTAATAAATGTTTATTAATAACACAAGTTAGCATTTTGCAGTATTAAACAAGGAAGTATTACGTCATTACGTGATGAAGCAGACGAACTCTTTGTTAGAATAATATGTATTACATCATTTGTAATCAAAATATCAAAAATTTTTTTAAAGTAACTTTTAAAATGTAATGAAATTTTTATTTGCAGGTGCTTTAAAACGTCGAAAAATTTCTATAGCTTCTAAACTAAATACTTACACGTTTATAATGATAATAATAATAATTTATTAATTAAAGATACTTTTTATTGATTAAAAATATAAATATTAACAATTTTTATTTATTTATTTATTTATGGAAATAACAGAAATAATGAAAATAAAACGAAGAAAATGTGCAATAACAAAAAGAAGAGTAAGAAACAAAATATAATGAAAAAAATAATGAATGAAGATCAACAAAAGAAGTGAAGGGAAGAACAAAATAAATGAAGAGGAATAAAAAGTAATGAAAGAAACAAAGGTGGAGTAAAAAAAATGAAAGAAGCAAAAGAGAGGTGAAAAAGGGATGAAAAAAACGAAGGGGATAAAAAGGAACGAAAAAAATGAAGGAGTGAAAAGGAATGAAAAAAA